TGGTCCAGTCTCTTCGTGACGTGCTTGCTAGTGTTAGTCTCCTTTGTATCTTTGTTTCGTACTTTTCACAACAAACGTTTGAATTAATTCACATAGGTGGAAAAGTGCCGTTACATGACAACGAAGCTTAAAAGCTATCATCGGTAAATGCAACTGGGTCGAAAGCTGCTTCAGAACTGGACACCCTGGTTTGATTTTCGATTTTGTTTGGTTCCGAGAGACGTTCACACTTGTAGCTTGTCCTTGCGATGATCGGTTCTCTTGCGGCGCAGTCTGCATTCACTGCATAATACTCCCAGTTGAATTCCAATTGTTCAACTGTGACACTGTTTTGGCATCTAGATACTACAAAAACTGAGGGAACTTTGAAAGCGGGACTATTGTAACTTTGCCGGAACAACAGGGACCGTCGAAAACTTTGAGAATGGTCAAGCTGCTGGCTTTCCGGTCAGTAGTTCATGCCTTAATCCATGAGCGGTCTCAGATCAATGGGAGAAGTATAACAGCCTAGATTTCCTCAGCGCGCCGTAGCCAGCACCTCATAAGGAACTCATCAGATCGCACTTCATAATGCGTAACCGTCATTGAACAAAATGGGCAGCTGGATCTACGATAATTTGGCACATGTTTACAGCTGAGTAGCACTGAGTTCCGTTAGTCCATTTATTAGGACAGCAAAAAGCATAAATCACGAGATGTCAACATTTCATTTACTTTCATCAGCTACGGAACGCAAAGTGTGCTGTATTTATATAGTGGTAACGGTAATGACAGAAAAATGGTGTTTTTTCCTAGATTAAAGGGATGTAAGGTCGATTCCAGAGCAAAAATGAGTTTCAGATCAATGATTTCTGCGCTCACAAGGCTGACATTACTGTTGATCAGTGTGTCTTCACTAAATGCCAGCGACCCCGGATTCGAGTTATGCGACCAGGCCGAGAAGGAACTGTATGGCTCACACATATGACCCGTCTCAATAAGATGACCATCGATCGGGGAACCCGCAGTTCATGTGACTGGTCGTACTGTTTGTGTGGGGCTGGCTCGCAATGAACTTTTTGGCAGGTGCTTCGCTATTCTTTGGGAGAGACGTTGGTTCATTATACCAATGTGGAACGTTCAACACAACCAGAGGCGAATTGATATGTGGCTTGTAGGGCGGATAGGTTGGACGCACTCGGTAACTGGCGTGTACTGAGTCCCTACTCGTTCCAGTCTTTACTAAAGCTCTTTCCTATTGGTTGTGTGACAGTCAAGCGCCGGCATGTGTCGCTGGTCTATTGCTTCCAGTCATGCTGATGATTTTCCTAGGGTTTGAGACAAGTGCGGATTGTTCCGCCGGGTGTGCATGACATGTTTGTTGCCAAATCGTCACCTTCGAATGGCAAGTGCACAAGCATGTACCAGGGACAATCTGGCAAGACTGGGTTTCCAGATATATTTATCCAACCGCTTACGCGGAGCCTAAATGTATGAACTGGTATTTCTAGCAGAATTAATAATATTCTCTTCTGATAGCAACCTATAGAATTGTAATGGGAAACGGCCTCACTGAATACATTATCAGTTAAATCACCTTGGGCATGTGATACATTCTCGGTAGGCCCCAATAGCGGCAAAGCACCACTTAGATTCTGACACCATGTGGCATTTTGATTAGTTTAACTCTTGCGACTCCGATTAGTTATATACATGCCCCCCATTCAGTAAATAATGGCTTTTCTTCGGTGATTTTTGCTATTTCAGAATGAGTCATCCGATGGCGGCGCGATCCGAGCTCTAAAGTCGCGCGTAGACAGTCTCACCATCTTGATGAACCGGTTGATAGAACACCTGGCTATCCGAAATATGTTAAACGAAAGCAAAGCTACGAAAAATACAATCTTAACAAATGGGTTTGAAAATACCCACCCTATGCAACAGAAGGAACCTCAAAAGGGCCCCCTGATATCTGATTTTGAAGACTCTGAACCCGAAAAACCTGCCTGTACTGGTCAAGCAGTGGACTTTCGTGCACTTGACAATGCCTGTAGAGCCATGAATACTGCCTTGCTCTGTAATCTGCCCGTTGAAAGCAACCAGCCAACTGAATTGGTAATCACGTCGACTAATGTGCGCCAGCTTCTTCCTCGATTTTGGAAAAAAGCTGCAGAAGAAAACTGGTCCGACGAGGAAAAGGTCCAGCGCCTTCGAATGATTTGCGATCCAGCTTTACAACGACTGTTGGATAACGCAGATGTCTTTCGGAAAGACTGGGCGTATATCTCGTCAACCCTGTACGGTGACCACGTTCTTGATGAGGTAACCATGATCCGCTGCCTTGGCGCAGCCCGGCAACGATTCGGAGAGACGCCATATCAGTGGTACTTACGCGTTTGTAGTATAGTCGAGCGTGGTCTTCCGCCCGGACCACTACAGGATTGGGAGGTTCGCTCAGCGTTTATACGTGGTCTTCATCCGAGGTATCAACAAGCCCTGGGAACGGGGAAGTTATCCTCTATCAGAGAGATTATTGAACGCTGCTCACAAGTGGACATTTCTGTCGGTGACCCCGCTTCTGCTCGAGGTGACCAGGTGAATTGCAGAAAAACGTGCTATCGGTGTGGAAATCGAGGTCACGTGATGCGCGACTGTCCACAAATCAAAGGTTGGTTACTATTGATGACCCTCTTTTCTAGGCCAATTGACCTCTTTCGATCGATATTTTTGGCCTTGGTTTGGTTCATATGCTTGTAGTCACGTACTCAGTCGAGTTTATAACAAACGTTCGAGCTGTGCATCCTTATGGTTTCCGGCTCTCTTTCCAGGTTCAGCAAATATTTGGGTGTTTCAACAAGATATCTGGAGCATTTAGTTCAGGTCATTTTGCTTTGCTACCGGTCCGCCACCAAGACTTTACCGTGAATAGGGTAGCTGGTGACGTTTCCATGGTTTATAGGACCGTGTTCGACATTTATTTTGCCGTAAATGCGCCTGAAAGGAATTAAGCAGAACTCGCTTGTAGCTTACCATCAGAGACACTATCGTAAAGCCTTTTGTAGAAATTCAGTTTTAAAAGCGAAGTTGCTGTGACTTCACATTACCACGTATAGCTTCGTGCACTGTTTGTTCAACATAAACTAGTGGAGCCCTTTGGGATCACTCTTTAGGGCTCACTGATGTTCTTTGTAGGCCATATCACATGAACCATACCCGGTTGTTTATAGTTCGTATTTCAGATCTTAGTAACTAAGACCGAGAAAGAAACGGTCAAATTTATGGTGCGCAAGTGGTTTTTGTGTCTGTCTTGGAGTTTTTCTCTCACCAAAACCAGCCTATACGTTAAGCCTCTACTGGAGAAGCTGTCATATATATAT